TCTAAAAACCCCACACAAACTTGACATAATGGTAAGGGAATCCCTCCTATTCTCATCGACTTTGAATCCTTATCCATTCCTGAAACCAGGAAACAAATTCAGACTATTCAGGACTAGAATACCCTAAAAATACGTATTCTTCAATCCCTCTGCCTTGTAGCTGTTAAGCCCTCTTATATTTTCTCCTCAAACCTTTCCCAATTCATCAGTGAAAGCAAAATTCCTGCAGAGCAACACACATGAATGGCAACTAACCTTGCCAGGACTGGAAACTAAAAATCTGCCAATATCTCCTTACAGCCACCATAACCAAGGCTCACAGAACACAAACTTCAAAATCTACACTCCAAAACAACCTCATCTCAAAACATGGCACACCTCAATAGACCCCATTCTTCATGAAAACTAGATGGATGAAATTAATGAACCAGTATGCATCAGCATGAATTCAGATGTGCTAGCAATCTCCTTCCTCTCCCTCTCCCCTTCACCTGACTAGTAATCTGATGTGACTAATAATCTGATGTCTGCTTTTGTGACTCTCTCGATAATCAATTCCACAGACAATAAACCCCAATTTTTAACAATTAAATACCAACTGCCAAGTGATACAATTTCATTATATTACAAAGTTATGTCCTAGATTTATTTTGATTTCTTTTTTAGTCTGGGGAAGGGCAACTAAATTGAAAGCTTGTCTCTTTCTCCCCCACCGTACTGCCTACGCACACCTACCTGAAGCAATCCCTTTTACAATTTCTGCCCTGTCACTTTCAGTATCCCAGGGCTCAAGAAACACCAATAATTAAAACATACCAATCTAAACTGAGGATATAGCAGTTTTGATGTAGCACTATATGTAAGGAAGCAACAAATGGTTTAATCCATCAGTATTATGTACTGTCTTCATACCTGGTTTTCTCTGGCCATTGTAGCTAAGTCATCTTGCAGTCGTCTGTTTTCTTTCAGGGCTATTTCCTTTACTCTTCCTATTTCTGCAAGCTCTACTTGGGATGCATCAAGCTGGCAATGTAAGCTAGATATCTCACGGTCTCTCTTGCTCAGCATGTCCTTCATATGGCTGTCAAGTGAAAATATTATTTTTGCCCCTTCTTATACTGTACCACATACTGCTGAAAACAATCAGGTAAAATTCTTGCTCTCTGAAGGCTGACAAAGTGAGTCTAAATGTAAACACAAGCTAAGTATATCAATTGTCAATATGCAGAAATAAAATGGAATTAATCATCAGCTTTGAAGATGTATCTGGTTAAGGTGTATCTTATTAGGCAAACAGCAATTAAAAAGACTTATGTTTATCTGTGCTTGATAGTGGTTACAGTGTGTTAGTCATTGCATATTTTATAAACCATAAAGGAAGAAAACAGCTTACACTTGAAAGACAACAAACAAGAGAGTAAGAATTAAATACAAAAGTGGAAATATAAATGTGTGAATTTAAATAAACTTTTGCATTAGTTTTTTGTCATAATACTTCATGCATCAATGTAGCAAATATCCAGTTACATTTATCTTCAAATGTTTAAACATTAGCATTTAAATACTTTTTTTAAAAGCTGTAATTTTAAAAGTCATGCTTAAAAAGAGGCAAGAATGAAAGATCAGATGAAGCTCTTCTAAAAACTACATAAACATATTTTAATTAAGACTGTACTGGCAGCTTAAGTTAGAAGAATTAGATTGCCAATAGTTAAGAATTTGAATTTTACCTGGGTCAGTCTAATAATATTTAGTGTAGTTCTTAGAACACTATAAAGCTACTTATTGACTGATAATTAAGAAACAGTACCAATTTAGGGAAATACAAACAATTGTTAATGGTTGCCTTAACAGTATCTTAGCAGCCTGCAATATAATTGCAGAGGAAATCTTCAAAAGTTGTGTACATCCTTCTCAAAGCAGTACACTCCTTCACTTGACTTACATGGAATTAACTCCATTGCACCAAAATAACTAAAATGGCCATCTACTTTCACTTTAAAAACTCTGGATAAAACAAAACTTCTGAAGAAGGCATCGTCACCTTTACTTACTCTGTTGAGGACTCCAGCTCAGAGAGAGTTAGACGTAAATGAGTAATTGTTTTCTCCTATGAAAATAAAAGCAGAAGTTGTAGTAGGTATTATATTGCAACATAACAGGATACTTCAAGTTAAAGAACTTTACATTTAAATCCTTATTTTAACCCTTCACCAGTAAGTAATTGCATCTTTGCATGCTCAAATTTCCAGGTTTGTTTTCTTACTGAGAAAGGATTGTCTTGCCATAAAAAAAGATGAAAGTCACTTCAGGCTAGAAGCTTACATCTCAATAAATACCTCCACGTGCAAAATGCAAAAAAGACACTTCTTGATTTTCTTGGAGTGTTTAGGGAATACAGCAATATTCATAATTAAAGTGCTATTCAGTTGCCAAATGATTCTTTGCATTGGCTATGCCCAAACATAGTGTTTATGTGATACCCAGTGCTCTTCACAGGCTTTGTCATCAAGCCAGAATGTCTCCCTAAAATCTAACTGCTTTAAAAATCCCCAGGTGGACTGCGAAGTACTACTTTTACTGCACATACCTTGTTAGCTATGTTGTCATCTAAGCATGCAATTCTTTCTGTTTTTTCATCTACAGTTTCTTGAAGATTGTCCTTTTCTTTGTCCAAAACAGTAATAGTACTTCTAAGCACTTTGACTGCTTCATCCTGTGAAGTGCTCCTCTGGTTTAACCTATCTAATAAATAAAAGAATAAGTGCTTACTAATTTAAAAGCAGGAAATAAGCATAAAAGCAACTATTGATTACCTATTTTCTCCTGTAGCGTGACAATTTCTTCTTGAGCTGACTGAAGTTCATCCTTTTTGAGGGACAATCTGTGCTGTAAATCTTCAACAGACCTCTGGAGTTGGTCATTTAAGAGCCTGGAAAAACAGTATCAGTTGAAAAAAAATTGGGACCTATTCAGGGTCTTCAACTTATGGCTCTTCAGCTGCTGTAAGTGCTAGAAGAGTTCCAGCATAACTTCCTAACTGGATTGTATAATAACAACCAGCAGCATGGGGTTGTGTCATGCTAACCAGCCCTCATCCTGGAGGAGAGGGAGGACTTAAGAACTGCTGAGGCCAACACCACTTGGTTGCTCTGGACCCCTGATGCAAATCCACTGCAACACCCTTCCAAAATAGTGCAGTGGAACCTCAGTGGAACCCCCATGATAAATCCAAAACATTAACTTCCTCTGACTCTTGTTACTCTTCATGTGACTCTTGTTACATGTGTCTTTTGGCTCTTGCATTATAAAGATTTGAATATGTAGCCACACCACATTTTAAGAACCAACCAAACTGACAGCTACAGTTTTGATCCTACTTTAAGAAATACAGAGCCTGAAAGATATATGAAAGATTCTACCTAAATAGTTGGTTTTTTTCTTCGGAAGAAATATCACTATCTTAGGGAAAAAAATGCAACAAAACAAAACTCCAACATAATTAAATGGACAGGTCAGGAAATAAAAATCTCTCTCAAGTGGGATCCCACAATAGCAAGAGACACTTTTCATTATTAAAACCAATCCAGAACACAGCATGTCTGTAGATAAATATTGCTTTCACCCAGTTCAGAGTGAAACTTTAGAGAGGAAAAAAAGAGGGGGAGAGCAAACACAACTATAACAGATTGCCACCACACACAAAGTAGAACCACTGGTATGACTTGTAGCCCTACTCCTTATCTCCTTCTTTTGATAATATCAATGCTTTCCCTCGAAATTATATGGAACTCAACAAGACATTTTTATGAATGTTGTCAGAAATTTACCAACAAATGCACTAACTGCTTTACCAGGAGTCCCCTTTGTACAATCAGGGGTGTTAGATGAACTTCAAGGTCTGCTCTCAGCTACAGTTCTTCATAGTTATCCCCCCAGTATTGTACTGGTTTACAGTGCAGTGCAGTATTGCACAGGTGAGGGGGATATAAGATACAGACCCTGATTTTCCTTGTAAAACATCTACAGGATCTACAGCATCCCCCATCCTGTAGTGATCTCTGATATCAAAGGCTATCATTTCCACCTATATTTTCAAATTTCTGCCCAGATTTATTCAATATTCTCTTTCCACTTGCTCTAAGCCTTTTTCTTGTTCTATGACATTTAGACAGCTGGTGGGAGCTCTTTTCTAAAACAGCTTTCAAAGAACGCAATAAGGACCCTGCAAGTTTAAACAGGCCTTAAAAACACATGGGTATGTGTGATCCTGCAGCTCTGAGCAAGTTGGTCAAATCCCCACAGACCGTGTCTGTGGATGATAAGACGTCAACTCTCAAAACTGTCTTATGTGTGTGATAGCATTAGCACATTGTCGTGGTTTAACCTCAGCCAGCAGCCAAGAACCACGCAGCTGCTTACACTCCCTCCTCCCTGCTCTTCCCCCCCCCAACCCGGAGGAATGGGGAGGAGAACAACTGGAGTAAAATATGTGGGTTGAGATAAGGACAGTTTAATAACAATACAGAGCAGAATGAGCCACAATGCCAATAGATAATGAAAAGAAACCAAAATCAGTGATGTACAATACAATTGCTCACCACCCGCGGACCGGCGCACCCCGAACCTCCCCCAGGATCGGCCCCTTCCGGCCTGGAACACCGGGCATGACGTGCCATGGTGGGGAATATCCCTTTGGCTAGTTCAAGTCACCTGTCCCGGCTATGCTCCCTCCCAATTTCCTGTGTATCTTCTCACTGGTAGAGCATGAGACACAGGCAAGAAAATGTCCTTGGTTATGATAAACACAACCCAGCAAAACCAAAACAACAATGTATTATCACTTCTGAATTCAAAACACTGCACTACACTAGCTACTGAGAAAATTAACCCCATCCTGGCTAAAACCAGGACACACATGAAAGAGAGTAATACAAGAAAAACAGCCCATGTAAAGTGCCATTACAGAATGATGCTCCGTGACCCACTCAGTTCTGGAATATCAATGCCTAATGCCTAGCACACAACTCTTGGCATTGCTGACAACTTTGTAAAACAGGCACAATCTGGTCCTACTGCTGCAGTTTGCAAAGGCATCTGTCTTCCTTTTAGCAAACAGCATTTGGAAATCCTTTTAGGAATTTTCGGTTCTGTTACATGCATAAGCATAGAACAAGGCTATTTGAGAAACGACTCTAGGAGGAGAAAATTTTAATTCACAGTCTTCCATAAAAATCATCAGTATACCTGGTCAGCAAATAAGTCCAGGAGGAGGTTGCTGTGGAAAGACACAACATCTTCCTTACTCATACTTGCTTTTCCTTAAGACATGAACAGTACCAAGTAATTTTTAAAATATTTTATGGTCTTTCCCAGAAACGTAACTCTGTTATGCAGTCATAGAATAAACAAAATTATTTTAGCATCTGTGAAAGATCACCACATTTTGTATCAGACTTACTGAAGTGAGCAAATCTCAGCTTTAAATTCAGAAGAATCATCAGAAGTCTGGATAAGTTTACTGGACTTCAATTTTAATTCACTTTCCAAATAGTTTATTCTTTCTTTCAGGATGGAGACTGTAGTCTCTAGTTCACACCTTTCCATCTCAAACTGCAATTTAAAATAAATAACCAAACGTTATTATTGCAGAAAGCTATCACGTTATTTTAAAATAAATTTAAGTTGAAACCAGCTAATAAAATTAACTGCTTGAACAGTCTATGCTGTTTTAGAAATAATAAAAGCTTACTTCCTAAAAACGCACTTACTTCTTTCTCCAGTTTTGAAATATCATGCTGCATCTTTGATTTTTCAAGGTTAGCTGCTTCTTGCTGAATCTGAGATAGAAATAGAATTACATCTAACAAGACAGACATTTTTACATTTATCATAGACATGTAAGCTTAAGCTGTTTCATACAAGGTGATGCCATGCTAGCCCTCAAATACTTAAAGCATGTTCCTCTCTCCCTATCCCCACTTAGGAACTGTGTTTATAGGGAAAACTTGATACAATTCATCAAGCTCTCTCAAGAGAGTTTAAAAGTTATTGGAATGGGGAACTGACAGACAGGCACAAATGTGACATTATTTTATGAGCCTTCCCCATATGCTGCCTCACTGTAAGCAATGAAGCTGGAAAACCTCACCTTTAACTTTTCTCTTAGGCTTTCTTTTTCTGCCATTAGTCTTCTAACATCAGTCAATGCAAAGTCTCTTTCTTCTTCCACGTGACTTTGAGAAACTATGTTATGTTTGGCTTCTCTTTTCATCCTGTTCAATTCATCCTGAGACTTTAAAAATATTATTTGTTAGCATACATGGACTGCAATATAGTGTATACATAACAAGAGAAATTTTCAATGCTGTTATTACAAATGGCTAGATAACTAGGGACTAGATATTCCCTAAATCACTCAGTGGCATGACAACATAATCATCTTCCTTTTACCATTCAAATACAGCCTAACTTCACTCTGTTCTCTTACCAGTTAACTACTCCTTCCTTGCTTTCTTGCCTGTATCTTTATCCAACTTTCCCATGCATTCCACTGATTTTTTCCTGATCCTCCTAGTTTCTGAATGCCAGTACAATAAATTGTAATGGCTTTCAAGTTAATAAATAAGTGGCATACATAATTTTATTAACAAGTAATAAAAATAGATACATATTTTATTAGTCTTGGTTGTATTCTAATAGTCTATACTTGTCACATTCCATTATAAAGGTCTTGCATTTTAAATAAGCAACAGTATGACAAGTGCTAATTGGTTGTTTCAATGTTAATTATAAACAATCCCTTACCTGCCCATAAAGAACATTTAATTTATCTCTTTCTGCAGTCAATAATTTGACACTGGACTGAATTTCTAGCATGTGTTCTTCAAATCCGTCTAACACAGACCGTAGCTCATCTCTTTCTCTGGTCATTAATCTAAGCTCTTCACTCTGCAAAGGAATCGACAAAATTTTGTTAAGATAAGCTAATTAAAATATCTGGATAATTAATACCAAAAAAGAACTCATGCTGTGAGTAACATATTAAAAAATACATATAAAACAAATGTCATATTGCAAGAAAAATCCTGGCATTGGTGGCATTATTTAAACAATCAGAATTAACTGCTGAGAAGACGAAGCAAAGCAGCAAACAGTAAGATTACAACCTTTTTTTATCATCTAGTTCTATTTATTTCAAACAAATTATTAATTCATTCATATTTATTTTATGTAATTTCAATAATTAATATGTTACTGTAAAATGTGACCAGGAAAATAAAAAGCAAATTCATGCGAGTTTCTCTCAGTTGATTTTCTATGTTAAGAATGTAATTTAGAAAGCTCTAACAGTCATTTAGTGCCACTGAATTTGAAAATATATTTGATGGCTTCTTAAATGTTTCTACAGTATTTCCATTCTTTTCTCAGCTTGTCTTGACAGTGGGAACTTTACCTTCTCCAGAATCCTGCGGCTTGGGCTAGACCTTCGTTTTACCATTTTCTGAAGATATTCTAATTCTCGCTTGTAATAATCTCTGTCATCTTCTAAAGTCTTTACAAATGCATCTAGACGAGATGGAGTTTTGTCTCCTTGGGCTATACCATATTGTAATCTCATTCTCTCTACTTCCAGGACAAGGTCTCGTTCTGAAAAGATAAAAACCAACAAAAAACCAAATGTATAGGAAAGTTATGCATTTCCTCAAAGACCCTTGCACGGACTAACTCCCAGCAACCATCCAGGCAGCAATCCTGATGAAAAGGATGTAGGAGTCCTGGCTGGCAGTAGGCTAAACTCGAGTAGCACGAGACCAACAGATGCCTCAGCACCTTAGGCTGTATCAACAGAGACACAGACTGAGCAATGTGATGATTCCCCTTTACTCAGCACTCATTAGACTGCACATACAATACTGTGTTTAGGTTTGCCCCTCCTAGTACAAGAAAGATGTGATTAATTCCAAAGGAGGCCCTCCAAGCTGGTCAGGGAGCAGAATACCTTCCCTGTGGGGAACAGCTTATGGAACTGGGCTTGTTCAGCCTGGACATTAGCTGGAGAACCAAGAGCAGACTGGCAGTACCAAGAGGGAGTAATAGGTAACATGGAGCCAGTATCTTCACAGAGCTGCACAGTAGGTAAACATGGAAGGATGGCAATTAATTGCTACAAGCAACTGCAAACAATACAGGGGAAAATATTTTACTCTGAGAATAGACAAACATTGGAATGGGTTGCTTAAAGATGTTGTGGAATCTCCATCCCTGGAGGTTTTCAAGATCCAACTGGATAAACCTCTCAAGAGACAAAGTCTGAATTCACTCACTCAAAAGACAGAGAATAGAAACAGTTTTGGCCAAAAGAAATTACTTTGCATGAAACTGCCATGGAATTAGTCTAAGGATGTCCTCTGGGATTAGGGTAAAAAGTTCAACTTCCAGTTCTCACATAGAGAATGAAAACATCTTTCCATGACAAAAGTTTTCACTTCAATTATGACTGAAGACCTACCTATATCAAAAGTCTTTTAGTGTTATTAACTGTATCTTAACTAGGTAAGGTATTCTATTTCAAAAACTACAGAAAGATAATTGACAGGAATCTATATTTGATGAGTTACCTCTTGTTTCTAAGTTCTCTGTTTTTTCTGTCAGTCTTTTCTTCTCTCGTTGAAGCTGGTTTAACAACAGGTCAAGATTCTCTTTATCGTCTGTTTTTCCAAACAGTTCTTCATTCAGTCTCTTATTTTCCCTACGACAAGAGCTCAAATCCTGAAGTAACAAGCATTATAAAAATCAGAAGTGTCAATAGAGATATTTTGAAAATAGTTATTTAACATTTTGTTGAACTTTTAATACTCAACACTGCTTACTTCTGTTTAACCTGGATGTTTTATGCTTTAACATTTGTTAAAGGCTATCATTGTTTTTATACTACCTTTTAGTACATCAAACTAAGCATCACTTTTGACACAGCTTGCAGGCAGCAACAAAACAAGGAAGAGTAACACTTGTTTAATTCAAGAAACCAACCAATAGGGTAGTGGATGACAAATATGGAAAAAACCCAAAACTAATGACTACAGCAATAAATAATTTTTAAGAGCATTTGCTAACACTCTTGGTGTTAAGTACATTACAATCCAGCATCTCAGTCAATCCAACCCTGCAGCTAATCAAACACTATTTGGCACATCTTTCTTATACTCTGATGCTCTGAGAATTAAGTATTTTTGTATTTGCAAGTTCACTAGCTATACTAAAACAGAACACTGTACTCAGCTAATACACAACTCGCTACACACTGGAAAGAATTTGGTCTTCAGAGAACTGATGTTTTTCATCTGAGTCACTATGCCTTGTTCCCAAGTGAGCCAAGTAGTGCATAATTATTCACATGCAGATTAAGAGACAAAGCAGTTTCTAAATGAAGAAAATCTTCTAGGATGTCACAACATATTTGTGGTAAAAATGATTATGTAATGGAAAATGTAACTTCAGACAGCAGAAATAAGGAAATGTACAATAAGGACATAGTCGACCACACTGTCTGCAGAGTTTCAGTATAATTTTCAACAATATGATGCACCTACTTTAGCTCTTTCATCTACTAATTAGTAAGTTTTTACTACAGAGTTTTAGGGTACTATGAAACTTCTCAAGATACTTGTTAAATTATTATTTTATATAATAAATGAAAAAACATATGGAATACAGTATGATAAAAATGCTACAAACAAGAACTGAAAGTCTTTTTACTTACTGATTTAAGCCTTGTTATTGTTTCTTGTAGATCCTGTATTTCACTCTGTTTTCTTTCAATTTCTTTCTATCAACCAAAATTAAGTTATATGTTAAGAGTTACTCAAAATTATGACAATTCCTTTATTACAAAAAAACACAACGCAAGGAAGCAGACTATTTTTCTAAGAAATAAAGTTCCTTGTAATGAAGCAATGAAGTTCCTATAAATTGAAAGCATAGAACATTTCTGGTATAAACACCCATGCTCTTTTGGATCACAAGTAAATAAATCATTGCATGACTCCTCATAGAAAAAAACCCTCCAGACACATGCAGTGCTGTTGCAAATTCTATTACTGATCAATAGTTTTAAGCATTTAATTATCTGATTTCATACCAAGGAAGACACACTGCCCCTTAACTAAACTCATCTCACCTAATACAGTATAGAGACAAAATTGTTGTGACTGATCATCTTTTAGTGAGAAATTCAGTATGATGCTAAGTAAACTGGAACAAAGTATCTTTTTAATCTTCCTTTCACAAGCCAATAGGTCATTTGTTTCAACTGAAAGACATAAAGCCAACTAAGAGCTGAGCAGATCCTTCACTCCGTGACACGTTAGTGATTACCTTTGCTTCTTCTAATTCCTTATCTGCAGTCTCAAGCACTATTTCCTTGTGTCTTTCCAACTGCTGTGCCAAGTGGTCTATTTCATTCAGTTCTTGACACAGCTCTTCATTTTTATTGGTTAAATGCACTACCTCACTAGTCACATTTTGTTTAGCGTCCAGGAGGTCTTGAACGCGATTTTCAAGTTCTTTGTTCTTTTGCTGAAGATACTCAACCTGGAAGACATTTTTCATTAAAATATGAATATGCATTGTGAAACTAGGTAGCAAAAGTCCCTCCCAATCTTCTGAAATATAGTATCTCTATATCCATAGTAAAAAAGTGATATCCAGTTAAACATGGCAAGATTTTCTATTTTTAGAACTTAATGCTTATCAACATGTAAAACCTGAGGCTTATTCTAAAAGCAAAATATTGAAACACAGAGATCTGTATAGAAACCTTTCCTGGGCATCAGTCTGGTAGACCCAGTGTACTCAGTTTTCTAAATTTCACAAGATGGAGAGCCCATTCTTTTCTTCACCTTCATAGTCTTATTTGCTAGGTTTAGTCTCACTCCTTCATCAGAATGAAGCCTTACAGATCAGATTCCCAATACCTATCTTGTCCCAAACGTATCTCAGCACCTTAAACACAACATCCTCAGAAATTCTGCTCTACAGACATAGATTTTCCCAGTATACTTTTGCCTGAGAGAAAAGGAAAGAGAGGCAGGGATGTACATTAGGAATAAAAATATATATACAGTAGATTACACGATATTACAGGAGCCCTGCCTGTCTTGAAAGATTCAGGATAGCAAAGGTGTCCACTTCCATCTCCACAATACCTTCCTCAGAACTCCCGAATTACTCTAGACACAGAGGTCTGAGCTCTCTCACAGTCATGAACACTGCTATAGAAAGATATCCACACATTTCTTATCAGAGAATAAAAGTGGTATTGGCACTGAGCCCAAGCAAATAGTCTTGATGGTCCAAAACCAGCTTCATGCAGCTCTGGGCTCACTTTCCATACAATTTGTATTCACCATGACTTACTAATTCAGAATCACTGAACACAGCTGTACTGTTTCCAAGTCATAGCTCATTCTGTACTTTTACAGCACTGAACCTAAGCTAATAAACTCTTCAACATGGCTCCCAAGCCTCTGTACTCCATGCACAATCAGTATACAAACACCTAACTCAGCTGGAAAAAACAGAGGCTTGATGGTATAACTCTGGAGATGGCTTTGCTTGATTTGTACTCCAGCTTGTTGTCTTTTTTAAATTCTCATTCTGAGACCAATACTGAACACAGGATAATATGTGCAGTAAACACAAACATCTTTATTCTAAGCTCTTCCTTTCCTCACAAGTCTATACTGGAGTAAAGATGAGGACCACTTAAATTCCATGAGGAAGATTCCCCACACTCTGATGAGAATATCTACAAGGCTACTCCTTATCATAAGTACATATACCATTGTTAGTTCCTGAAACATAAATTGTGTGTACATATAAAAGCAAAGAAATAAACAAAACAAACAAGTTATTTTAAGACTGTGAAAACATTGTATCACACAGAAATTTTCTGAATATTCTCAGGTGAACAGAGTGAGTACAGAAGTGAGTTCATAGAATTATTTACCAATGTGTTTCTGACAGACTTCTAAAAAAAGAAATGAAAATTTCCTTAGGCAGGAAACTGCCACCTTGTCTTAAATAAAGACAATTTAAATGGACTGATTTTATATCTATTGCTGGTGTTTTTGAAGAGCTAGATGTCTTGTGGTTTTTCTAGATTGCTAATATTTTCAGTTTTGACTAAACAACTGTGAAAAATCCATTACCTGCCAATTCAAATGGGCAATAAGCTTCTCATTACTTTTACTTCTTGACTCCAGAGAGAGAACCTCATGGGAACGGCCACCATCCAACGCTAGCATCAGGCGCTCGATTTCTTTGTCTCTGAGCTCAACCTTTGAGGAGGGGAAAAAATATTCTATGATATTTAAGATACCATTTAATAGACCCTTTGTTCAAATAAACACATATGTAACATTCAGTAAAAAGATATAGCAGCTAAAATGCAATTTCTATCTTTAATATAATTTTTTTAAAATTCTGGATTCTTCGACAAAAAAGGGATTTCTTTGACAGAAGAATAAATTAATTAAACAGAATTTGTGAGGCAAAACAAACAATTCCTACTGGATTATTTTCTTGAAGAAAATCACACAATTTTCACTAGAATTAATGAATGTTGCAAATTAACTGTCTGAGACTAGCACTTATATTTAATGGAAAAGCTTTTAAACAAGCTAATTCATTGACTGTTCCAGTCACTGGAAAAGAAGAAAATACTAGAAGAAAACCAAGATGTGAACAAAAAAAAGAAAAGAGGACAGTGTCCACTAATCCCCAGAGATCTAAAGATGTAACATATGAACATTTCATGCAACTCCATCACTTAAAGCTTGTACATATTTTATCAATCCACTTTATTTAAAATGTTGCAAAATCTGGAGTTCATAAATTAACTATCAAAAATTAAAAAAGCTCTAACCAGTCCAAGTAGTGATAAAAATAACCCTAAGATATTGGGAGATCAAATTACTATTTTGGACCAGTTAACACATATGCACTAAGAAAACTATGCACAAATTCTACTTACGATCGTCAAGTTCAGCTTATTTAATGCGATTTTAATACACAAAATAAATCAGCACAAACAGCAGGCAAGCATTTAATTGTGGCTGCTGTCTCCAAAAGCAGAGGAGAGAAACAGCTCAGCATAGACAAGTTAGAGTAATTGTATTTCACAAGCCCTACAATGCCTTCCCAACATGGTTTTAAAAATTCAAGGCCATTGCCATGGCTACTAGAGCCAAATAAACATAATCATTTTTAAAAAAAGTAAACATACTTGTTTGCTATAATTTTTCATTCCACATTCAGCTCTCTCCAGTTTTTCCTGTAGTTCTGTTACTTCTGACTGAAGTTCATGAATTCTGAAACGTAGCAATATATTGTTCATGTGAATTGGTGGAAGAATTGTATGTACACAATTCAAAATTAGTATTTTCTCTTTGCTCCTGGACCCCAATATTTCACAAGGAAATAGTTTTGTTCGTACAAAATATTAATGCAAAATCTTTGTTTGAGATATTGCAGCAGGTTGATCTTGCCTGGCTGCCAGACCCCCACCCAGCTGCCCTCTCACTCCCCTCTCAACAGGATGGGGGAGAAAATAAGATGAAAAAGCTCATGGGTCAAGATAAAGACAGGGAGATCATCTACCAGTTACTGTCACAAGCAACACAGACACAACTTGGGGAAGATTATGGTCAATTAAAGAGCAGGACATTGAGAATCAGAGACAAACTAAAAACACCTTCCTTGCATCCTCCTGTTTTTTTCCGAGCTCATCTTGACTGCTTCAATTCTGACTCATACCTTTTTCCTACCACAAGTGGTGCAGCAGGTATGGGGCATGAGAGCTGTGGTCAGTCCATGACACTTGGTAAAACTTCAGCTCTGTTGTGCCTTCCTCCTCACACTGTTCCCCTGTTCCAGCATGGGACCCCTCCCACGGGATACAGCCCTTCAAGAACTGCTCCAGAATGGGTCATCTCCATGTGGTACAGTCCTTCAGGATCAGAGTGCTCCAGTGTGGGTCCCTCATGGGGCCACATGCTGCAGTTCCTCCCTCTCACTGATCTCTGTGTCCATGGGGTTGTTTCTCTCCTACCTTTTTTTACTCCTCCCTCTCACTGCTGCTACTCAGAATGTTTTACCCTTTCTTAAATACATCAGGGTTTAGGGTTAGGGCTAGGGTCATCAACCCTGGCTGATGGGCTCAGCTGTGACCTGTGGTGGTCTGTTTTCAAGGCCAGGTGGAACTGGCTGTGTCCAGCACAGGGTAGCCACAGTTCTCAGATGCTATCTCTGCTTTCCTCCCACTTCCAATACCTTGTCATTTAAACTCTCTACAGATATAGAATAAATAAGAAAAAACAATTGACTTGAACCTCTCATAACATAGGTTTCCAGTTTCCAGGGCAAAAACAGTATTACAAAAATAATTAATATTTTATTCTTCAAAACTAAATAAGAAAAAAACACTCTTAAATGAGCTATAACAGTAAAAGCAGTATAAAAATCTTCAGATAAATCCTTTCAGGAAATAAGCAACTTCTTAAATATCCATTGCAACTTTGTCACAGGCAGCACTGTCAATCACTGAGCAAAATCCTCTTTAAGAACCACAATGCTCTTAGATCATGAAATAGCAGCTTGTTTGAGGAAAGGCAGAGGGAAGGTGGGGGTTGGAAAATCATTGCAAGTATTTAAAACCTATACATCAAAATGAAAAAGTTCATTAGATTACCTATTATCAGCCACCTGAAGAAGGTCTGCGACATAAGGATCCTCTGACTGAGGAACTGGGTAGGCACTGACACCTGATGGGGGGACGAGCTGGTCTATCTGCATGCGCTGACGCCTGAAGGGAATACTTCTTTTTCTGCCACCTGAAAATGCAAAGGCATATAACTTGGTGTTAAAGCAAGGGAAACATCATCTTTAGCACAAAGTTTATTTTCCTATTTATTCCACTGCTTCTGAACAGGCATATTTCACCATTTTAATCCTTCTGCAATAAGCTGATAAAATTTATATATTCTAGACAACACCATTCTTGCAGTTTAGTATCAGTTTTGTCAAAGTTCATTTTTGTAATAAGGAAGCATGCAAAGCTCAGTATAAGTAATTTTCCCCAGTGTTTAAGGCCCTAAATATTCTACAGTTCAAACTTTTTGAATCTGTTAGTGATTTTAGCTTATGAAAAAAGCTAAATTAAAACATCATTAAAGACTATTTTTCCACATTTAAGAACTATCTTAAGACTGAACTAACCTCTGCATTGCTTATTAGTTTTTATTCCTTCTATTGTATTGTCATTTCAGTGAATATCCTAAGTATATCAAGCAGAGTAGGTTATTTGCTTGCATAGTAACATTATATTAAAAACAAAGCAAAATATAGTATTATTTCCAGATGGAACAATTACTCTTCATCATATGATTAAATAAGAACATACCATATTGGATGATGTACTATAGAAAAATCCCAGAAGACTGGTGACCAAAGGGCAAGTATGCAGAAAGACAGACAAAAGTGTAACATGTCATCTTTGAAGCAAAGGATATGAAGTGCAGAAAAGTGTGGAAAAATAAAGAATTTTAATTTCACTTAACTATCTATTAATTTTCCTCACATGTCAAAAAAAGACATTATTCAATGACTTGGAAAGAAAAGACAATTTCCAAATTTCATAAAATAATTCTATTTCCCTTAGCTTGAAAAAGGGAAAAAAAAAGAAAAAGAAAAATTAAACCCTGGAGAAAGAAATTAACCTGAAAGTAACATCCAGAACATTTTAAGTTACCAAAAGACCCTTCAAATACTGTAAGGTGTCAGAGGTTTGGAATACTTGTTTATAGACATATTTTACATCCTGCTACTTTTAGATCTTGGTTACAAAAATTTGAATTAGTCACTTACACAACATCAATTACCTGTCCAAAATATCCAAGTGCCAAACAACCTGCCTCTAACTAAATTAGGTGCAGCAATAGAAGAAAGTGCAAATAATGTTGATTATTAGTGCTTTCCAGTCACACTTTAATTTAAGTCTTCTATTGAATCTAAGTTTGCATTCAAATTTGTCCCTACCACAATGATGTCCTAATTAAGCTTCATATAGAGAAATGACTGAATTCACAGCCAAAACTTTCAATGGGTAGTGTTATTCTACTGGATATTTATTGCAAAAACTTTTCTTACTAGAGGAAAATATTGTGTTCTGAAGACCCAAAAAAGCCCAGAGAAAAGTTCTCAACACAGTCATTAATCGCAGCCAGCATGGCTTCATGAGGGGAAAGTCCTGTTTGTCAAGCCTTATTTCCTTTTACGACAAGGTAATCCACTCAGCTGATCAAGGGAAGCCAGTTCATGTAATCATTTTAGATTTCAAGTAAAGATTTTGATATCATCTTTCACAAGACCCTTCTGGACAAAACGTCCAGCAAAAAACTGGACAAACACACTGTGTGATGTGTGAGCAACTGCCTCACGGGTTGGGCACAAAGGGTTATGGTGAATGGGATTACATCAGGCTGGGAACGGGTCACTAGTGAGTTCTGCAGGGCTCCATCTTAGGCACAGTGCTCTTTGACATCTGCATAAATGACTTGGACACAGGACTTGAAGGACTATTAAGTAAATTCACAGGTGATACAAAATCGGGAGGAGCTGTTGACTTCTCTGAAGGCAGAGAGGCCTTGCAGAGAAACCTAGACAAATTAGAGAGCTGGGCAATCACCAACCATATGAAGTTTAACAAGTGCTGGATTCTGCACGTGGGATGAGGCAAACCTGGATGTACCTACAGACTGGGGAATGAGAGGCTGGGAAGTAGTGCTGTGGAAAGAGAACCTGGGGGTCCTGGTCAATGGCAAGTTGAATATAAGTCAACAGTGTGCCCTGGCAGCCAGGAGAGCCAACTGTCTCCTGAGGTGCATCAAGCAAGGCACTGCCAGCTGGTCAAGGGAGGTGACTGTCCTACTCAACTCTGCTGGTCCAGCCTCACCTTGAATACTGTGTGCAGTTTTGGGCACTACAATATAAGACAGATATTAAGTTATGAGACAGAATCCAAGGGAGGGCAACGAAGATGGTGAAGGGCCTTGAGGGAAGCCATGAGGAGCAGCTGAGGTCACTTGGTCTGTTCAGCCTGGAGAAGAGGAGACAGAGGGGAGACCTCATCACTGTATACAACCTCCTCACTGAAGGAAGCGGAGGGGCAGGCACTGACCTCTCTTCACTGGCAACCAGTGACAGGACCTGAAGGAATGTTCTGAAGTTGTGTCAGGGGAGGTTTAGGCTGGATATTAGAAAACAGTTCTTCACCCAGAGGGTGGCTGGGCACTGGAAGAGGCTCCCCAGGGAAGTAGTCACAGCACCAAGCCTAACAGAGTGCAAGAGGTGTTTGGACAATGCTCTTAGGCACGTGGTGTGATTCTTGGGCACGTACTGTGCAGGGCCAAGAGTTGAACTTGATGATCCTCAAGGATCCTTTCTAACTCTTGATTATCCAGTGATTCTGTTAAAATATCTGTGATTATTTACACTCACCAGGTGTTTGCACCACTGCTTGCAGATTCTTCTCCTGAAGCTGCTGAATTTTTTCAGTCTTGGTCTTGTTCTCTTTTTCCAGCATTTTAATTTTATGCACATATTGGTTATTCAGAAATTTCAAGTCAGATGTATCATGTTCAGCCCTCCTTAAGGAGGCTTTCAAATCTTCAAGGGAGAGAAAAGCAGTATTATCTTTCTTATTCACTATTAGTTTTCCTATAACACCGAAATGGGCATAAAGAGAATCCTGTATTCTTTTTCCATAGCAAGAAATTATCAATACGTATACATATGTGCATATATTTACACACAAACACACAAATAAATATATTAATACAAGCTTTGCAAATAAACCCCCATTGTGGAATAAAGCCACATTTAACAGCAGTATTTCATTTTAAATTAAAAAGGACCATTTCGAGGTATGAAAGTATATGCTAAAATTTCAAACATTCTCATGATTGATTAAAACAATGATTTGCAGGACCTCAAAACCTTTTTAACCACAAAAGAAATGTCTGGGGATGAGCCTTAATTCATTAAAGGCACCAAAGGCAATGACCATTCATATTCACTTTTAAGTAAAGATGAATGAATCTACTGATTCAGGACTTGGCCACAATTTTATTTTGGCACAGAAAGATTAAAAAAAGCGTAATTTTTATATTACCTTTCATATAACGATCAGACTGCTCTTTCAGTTTTAAAATTTCTAAATGTAGTTCATTATTTTCCCTGGTAAGTTTAGCATTCTCTGTTTTATAAGGTTCCAAAATAGTATCATAATTGCTGCATTCTTTTTCAGTTTTTCCAGCAGACAACTTTGCACTGCGCAAGCTCTCGGTTGTATGAACTAGGTCACTAGGATAAAGAAGCATCAGATATATGAGCAATGTTATCAGAGTTTACACTGCAGATGCAAATATTTATTATCACCTGAGAAACAAAACCCTTTCCCTGAGAGAAGGAGTAAATGGGTTCAAAGAAAGGCAAACAGAACATTCACATAAGAAAAACTGAAAGACAGGAATCGTTTGCTTAAAAAATGGGCAGGACAAACCTAAAAAATACTAGTACTTATACAGGGACCAGAAGCTCCAGTAGGGAGATCAGTGGTATGTAACTATAAACATTTTCATGAGAAGACTATCAAAGCTAGTGATGGAGAGAGCAAACCTATCTGCTAGACACCAGAATGGGACTTAATGCTGAAAGCAGATTACTCCACACCTACCTACCTATGGTTCTTTCACCTGTGTTACATGATAGAGAGCAACAGAACCAGAACAGCTACATTTGTATGTATATAAATATAACTGGATTACTATGGAAATTACTATGCTCATAATCAAATCAAAGCCATGAAATGGCAGATATGTTAAGAAGGTCATCTGAAAATTTTTCTTCTTTTATGTGCCCTGTAAAAAGTGCAGAGAGAGCAAATTTCAACTTCTTTAAATGAGACCATAATAAACAGAGAGGTGAATGATTTAAGTCACAGAACAGACATCAGGCATTATTTTTTATACAGCCAGTTATGTATCCTTTAAGCACATATCAATAAACCTTGGCAGTTTTATGAGGTTAGAAAAGCTGAATTTTCCTAGACCACAGATCCTTGGAAACAATTCTACTGAATTAAATTTAATCTTAAGCTGTTCTCATCACTTAAGCAAACCCATTTGACTTCAGCACACACAGAAACTTCATGCAAGTTCTGAAATAACACTGCTAGAAAATAATCTTCAGACTAAGCATTCTCCCTTAAATGTCAAAAATCAAACAATGCCTACAATATGATTAATATTTTTTAAATGAAATCTCCTTTTGAATACCTAAAAAGCTTTTCCACCAAAGGTAAACTCTCCACTCCCAACGGTTGTCGATAGCCCAGCTGATCTAGACGTTTCCTGAGGTTAACGAACCTTCGCTCTGCATTTGTCCCCATTGCAAACACCTCCAAAGCAGCTTCTGTCAGTTAAGAAAAACAGGACACCTGCAAAAGATTGTTGGTTTTAACATTTGCCCTTTAAAGAAGGAATAATACAGAAAAAAAGCAATGGAAAAACCACGATTTTTGGTGCAGGAAATGAAGTGCATAAGCATGTGCATAAAATGTAAGTAAACCAAAAGAGGATCACAGAGCAAAGAAAAAGTTTTAAACATGTTTACATATTTCTTTAAAAAGAAATATTTGCTTTGGCAATAAGTTTTCTCATCAGATTCTGATTTTTTTGAATCTGGTCATCATTGTACCTTCCACAATGCAACTGGACAGAATATTCTCAAAAAACCAATATACTTTTTTCTTTCATATATAAATCTTACTTTCAAAGTTTACAAGTCAATACTTAACAGAACTTATGCTAACTGTAAAAGGTTGCATATGAGTTT